GGGGGGGGGGGAAAAGCAGCCCCTCGTCCACCCCGTGGCTGGCACCCTGCAGTGCAGCCACTTGCAGCCCACATGGAGCTGCCTGTGCCTGCTTTGGACAGCCCCACACAAGCTGCGAGCAGCTACAGCAGGAAGCGCCAGCCATGGGGTGGAGGAAGGGCTGCTTTTCCCACCCCTGCACTCAGCTTTTCCCTGGGCTCCTTCCTGGCACAGGGAAAAGTGGCCCCTCGCTTGTCCCGTGGCCAGTGCCCTGCGCTGTAGCCGCTTGCAGTCCACGTGGGGCTGCCTGTGCCTGCTCTGGACAGCCCCACGTGGTCTGCGAGTGCCTGCAGGACAGAGTGCTGTCTGCAGGGTGGGTGAGGGGCTGCTTTTCCCCACGTTCAGCACCAGCTTCTTCCCTGCTGGCAGGCTGGGGGGCACTGGGAAACAGTGGGCAGGGAGCCAGCGGGAGCACGGGGCCCACACCAGTGTCCCAGGGCCAGTGCTGGCAGGGCTCAGAACAGGGTGGCAGGAGTGGGTCCCAGTTGGCAGGGGCTCTATGGAGCCAGGCCAGCTCCCCCATCTCCCTGCTGGTGCAGCCCAGCCCAGGTCCACAGACCCCTGCCAGCTTGTGCCCCACTTTGAGCCCTACTGGTGCTGGCCCTGGGACACTGGTCCCAAAACATTGGGACATTGGTCCCAAGATGGTGACCGGGGGGCGGGGCACCTGTCAAGGGGCAGGGCTACTCACGTGGCCCTCGACAGCCTGCCAAAACTAGGCAAGCGGCCCTCCGCCCGAAATAATTGACTGCCCCTGCCCTAGGACCTGAGAGCAGCATGACCAGCCTCAGACCAAGTGTGCCTTGGGGGCTCTTGCACTTAGAGGGTAGAAGCACTGCTGACCAGACACCCACCAGCTGCAGCACTGAAGGAAGCGCAACCCCCTCCATCTCTACATCACCTGCAAGGTCCAGCATCAAGACCCCTCACTTGGCCCAGAGGCCTACAGAGGTTCAAGATCACCCTTATGCTGCTGCCTCTGACCACCAACCCACGCCACGTGCTAACTCTGGGCTAAGAATGGCACTTACCCTTTCTCTTTCCCCAGGGGCTTCCATCCCGTTTCTCCTGGGAGACAGGGAGAAGAGTCTGTTCACACGAGGGTCACTGTCCCCTTCCCAGCACAGCACTGGCTTCTCAGCAGTCCTTCTGGGTCTCACCACCCCAAGCCCAGAGTTGCCCAGGCACTCAGCTAACTCCAACTCCAGCATCGCCCTCCAGACTACATTAGAACAGGCTGCAAGGTCTCCCACTTTGCCCTCCCCACCACTGCAGTACTTTGGTAGCGATCTGGCCTATCAACCCTGTTCCAAGGAACAAAGGAAGGTGGGGGGGTGGGAAGGAGAATGTCAGGAGCTGTCATGCCTCAGCACAGAGCTGTCACACTTGCAGAACTTTAGAGCTGGCCAAGAACCTGCATTGCCATGGGAGGGAGCAGAGATCAAAGAGTCTGGCAGTCTCTGGCAAAGCCCCTGAGACCACCCTTCCCTGCAACCTCAGTGTTATGCCTCCATTTGCACCATTGCTAAGGAATCCCAGCAGCTTTCAGGCCTCACATCCCAGCCCAAGAGGTACGACTCCTGGGACAAGTTTAAAGCATCTCAAACCTGAAATGGAAGCAGAGCTCTCTGCTACAGGAGGCATCTGGCAGGGCAGTGGCACAGCCTGGCCTGCAGGTGGCAGCAGCAGCAGCAGTGTTGTACACAGCTGGGATGCTTCACAAGACAAGACTTTGGGCAGCTGCAGCGCGTTCCAGCTCTAGCTAGTGGAGGGAGCAGTTTTGTTGCACCCACCTGTGATGACCCTAAGTGCATCCCAGGGGACAGCATGGTTTACCTGCCCAGCCCCAGCCACACACAGTTGGTGGTTAGAGTGAATCTGGACCTCCTGCAAGTGATCTTTCTCCAGCTGGGCTTTGGACAGAGCAGCTATACTTTGCCAGCTCACGGCAGAGTGACCTGGGCACCCTCCCATTCCCAGGTGGACTGGGCAGCAAATACAGGACATCACAGAGTTGTATACCCCGCTTCAGTTGGCAACAATGCAGAGGTGTATTGATCAATAGTGATGAGCCTGGCTTCCTTAGAAAGCAAGAGGCATAAATTTACAGCCCCCGCTACTGCAAGGGTTCAAGAGGCCCATCACCAACATCCAGGCATTTGCTACAGATGCACACAGGCATGCAAATGTTGGGTAAAAGGGAAGTACAACACGCAATAATGCCGAATACTATTCCAAGCCCTTCTTCCACAGCAAGTGTGCCTCCCCACTCCCATCAACAGGTCCACAGTAACTTAGCTGTACTATCAATATGCCTCCACATTCCCAATGACTGAAATGTGCACGCATTTCCTGAGACCCCGAATCAGCAGCTCCTGGGACGTTTGGGGCAGCTAGACTCAAAGAAATCTGCTGTGCTGAGCTGCTCAGTAACGGGGGAGAGGGGAGATGGAACAGGGAAAACAGACACCAAGAGTTGCAGAGAGGCAGGAACTTACGGATGCCAGGGATGCTTTCAATGGGGATCTGCCGCACACCCTCCTTGAAGCAGGTCAGGCCTGGGTACACCTTACGGATCTGCGCCTGCTTCCTCTCAATCAGCTTCTTGATGATCTGTGGCAGAGGGGTAAAGGCTGGAGTCCCAGGGCAATGCTGCAAAGCACTCTGCTGTGGGAGACTTGAACCCTCCGCTGCCAAGCTCCCTAGAACCCCTCCCCAAGGCGCTATCTACAGCTTGACTACAATGCCTGGTTTGCACTT